ACTGCTCAGAGAGGTCTTTGCTGGACTCTTCAACATTTCACACCCATCCCTTTGCTAAGGCATCTTCCCCTGAAAATCCCTCTCTGATTTTGCTTTTCAGACTGATCCCCAGCAGTGACCACAATGCCATCAGCCCTGGAGAGCCCCGAGGGGGGAGAGGAGGACATCCTGCGCTATGATGAAGTGGAAGATGACTCTGTCAGGTGAGTTCTGTCCTACACAATGGCACAGACAGCCTTGGGAAAGGCAAGAGATCTTCCAGGTAAAGGAGTGATCCTCATCTGAAAGAAGTGAGGGACTTCAATAAATGATCAATCAAATACATGTGCTATGAGATCTCTTCAGTCAAACTGGACTGTAAGGGTGGAAGGGATGGGAAGGAGTAATCTGTCAGGGCTGACAACAAACAGTTAGTTTTTTAGTCTCTACTATGGAAGTCACATTTCAGAAACACTGACTCTTTGGCAGCTGTGTTTGTGTCTTCCTGGCCAAGGAGAGCCAGTTTTTCATGGCTTGCTGGGCAGACTTCTTGTTTTGAAAACTTATTCTAGATGTGAACTCTGCTGTGGTGCACTCTTGCCTTTGCAGAATACCCAGGTCTAGTCAAGGACATTTTCTAGGAAGTTACTTTAAAAAACAAATTCACACACATGTTCTCAAAGCCAAGGCTTCAGACTTTGAAAACAGGAAGGGTGACTAGGGTGCTTCGTAGAAGACCCCTAAAGAAGTTTACTTCTTTGACTTGACAGGCTCAGCTTCATGAGAAGTTAATGTTTGCTGGCTCTGCTGGCACATTCAGTGGGTCTGAAGTGTTCAGTGTCTCTTAAAGCTAACAGGAATGTGCTAGCTGTAGCAAACTAGTGATAAAAACTGTAATGTGCACTTGGGCATGATTTGAGTGAGTTTGTGTGTTGATATTGTACCTGAAAGGTGGCTGTAGCCAGGCGGGGGTCAGTCTCTTCTCCCAGGCAGCCACTGACAGGAGAGGACACAGCCCTAAGCTGCACCAGGGGAAGTTTAGGTTGGACATCAGGAAAAAATTCTTCAGCTGAAAGAGTGATTGGGCACTGGAATTGTCTGCCCAGGGAGATGGTGGAGTCACTGTCCCTGGACATGTTTAAAAAAGGACAGGATGTGGCACCCAGTGCCATGGTTTAGTTGATGAGGTGTTAGGTCATAGGTTGGACTTGATGATCTCAAAGATCTTTTCCAGCCTAGTTCATTCTGTGACTCTGTGTTCAGGTAGGTGCAGTGCCTGTAGCTTAAAATCATAGATTTTAATGTTTTGGGTCTTTTTTAAAACAAGACACCTTGTGGAAACTTGAAAAAACAGTATAATTCAGGAGAAATAAACTTCTTAAGGGTGTTTTTGCCCTGTTTTGCCATTCAGTTCTCATCTTGATATCCAAGTTGGGAAAGCTGGAGACCTACCTGAGCCTTTTTTCTTCTCCAGCAGAAGATACCACCAAGGCCCCCATGCTCTTTAGCCTGCCCTGGGCTAAAGCTGTAGTTGCTCCCCATATGCTCAAGGCTTCTGTGTGTAGTGTTGTTGGGCTCACGTGGATGAGAAGGAGAAGTCACGGTGCAGGGATAAGAGGGTCCTTGGCAGTTGCTTCAGCATCCTGGGCCAGAGCCCCTCGTAAGCCCCAGCCCTCATGGAGTGGCAAATCTGCTTGGCACATGGGCTGCTGCCACCCTGCTGCTGCCCCCAGCAGGTGCCAGCTCAGCCTGAGGGGTGGTCTGAGGGTCCCACCTTGTACATTCTCTAAACTGGGATGGCAGTGGGGGATCCCTCCAAACACAGCAAGGATAAACTCATTGCTGCATGAGGCAGTGGGGTGAAAGGGGCTTTCCTGTTTGCCTGCAGCCCCATGGACCTTTCAGAGCTGCTGAAGGAGGGGACGAAGGAATCGCATGATCGTGCAGAGAACACTCAGTTTGTCAAGGACTTCCTGAAGGGGCGCATCAAGAAGGAGCTCTTCAAGGTGAGTGTTGCTCTGCTCCCCATCTCTTTGATGCACCCAGTGACTGATGCAGACTCCAAGGCAGAGCCCTACAGCCCTGGGGGTGCTGTGGTGGTAGATAGAGCCTTTGCTCCTTGAAGCAGCAGCTCTCCAGGCTGGTTTTGTGCCAGGCCTGGGGGTTTCCTATTGCTTACCCCACTTCCATGCAGGCAGGAGTAGTCATGAGATGAGTTGTGCCTATCCAGTGAGCAGCTTCTCACACAAACTGTGCTCTGTCTGTAGCTGGCCACCGTGGCCCTTTACTTCACCTACTCTGCTCTGGAAGAGGAGATGGATCGTAACAAGGACAACCCAGTCTTTGCTCCTCTGTACTTCCCCGTAGAGCTTCACCGGAGAGAAGCTTTGGCCAAAGACCTCAAATATTTCTACGGGGAAGACTGGAAAGAAAAGATCCAGTGTTCAGAGGCAACTCAGCAATATGTGGACAGAATCCATCATGTGGGACAACACGAGCCAGAGCTGCTGGTGGCTCATGCTTACACACGCTACATGGGGGACCTCTCAGGTGGCCAGGTGCTGAAGAAGGTAGCCCAGAGGGCCCTGAAGTTGCCCAGTACTGAGGAAGGGATCCAGTTCTATGTGTTTGATAGCATTTCCAACGCACAGCAGTTCAAGCAGCTTTACAGAGCAAGAATGAATGCTCTAGACTTGGACAAGAACACCAAGGAAAGGATCGTGGAAGAGGCCAACAAAGCCTTCAGATTTAACATGCAGGTACTAAAGAAATCCCTTGATCTCCTGTGTGTAGTTTAGGTCTGGCTTTTATGTCTGGCTCAGATTAATTTAGTCACACCACTCACCCAAGCAGTGGTCTGGGGCTGAGACCATCACAGCCCCTCCTTGAGGGGCTGGGATTCTAGTTGAACTAGCTCTTTCACTGGCTTCTGGAGCTGGTGTCAGGCAGGAATTCTCCCCTGCTCCAATACCACAGCCAAGCCCTTTGATTAAGGCAAAATTAATATGGCTTCAAGATTATTTCCATAGGCTGTGTGGCTGTGAAGCAGTGAGGGGAGCAGAGCTCTTGTGCCAAGGCAGCCTCAAACAGTTTGTGTGCTGCTCTGCCCTGGTGTCAATTCATCTCCTGTCTCAGGTCTCGCTTGTTGCCCTATGGTCAAAAATGTCTGGAGCCTCCTGTTCCTCCCATAGCATTAGCCTCTCATCAAACCTGACTGAGCTACTGTTTGCCCCAGGGGATGAGCACAGATTTAGCTACTGGATGGAAGTTTTAATCTTGTTCTTGTAGCAGGTCAGTGTGATTTAAACTGGCCAGAAACGTGGTGAGGTGTGGTTGGCTCCTTTGTCAGGATCCTTACAGAATCCCATGGCAGCAAGAGGGGCTGTCTGACCACTGCAGGAGCTTGGATCCTCCAAGGATCAGGAGGGAGGGAGGGGGAGACCCTGTTGCCCCACACTCCCAGCCACAGCAGGGTGGTGCTGCCTTGCTCCTGGCTCTGACTGAATGCTCTTGGGATAGGCTGTGCCTTCCTGGAGCGGCAACATGTACCAGGTGTCACCACAGCTCTGCAGTGGATGTCCCAAAGGTGTCTGGGGACAGGGAAGCAGGAGTGGTGCTTGCCTGTTCCCCAGATGATTCCAGGGGTCTGGCTGAGAGCTGCCTGGCTCTGCCTGCTTCACGTGCTCACTGTGACCACTTGCAGGTGTTTGATGAGCTGGACAAGATCGGCAGGTCGCTGGCAGAAGAAGCCCAAGATGGAGGCTTTCCAGTCCACGATGGAAAAGGAGACATCCGCAAATGCCCTTACTATGCAGACAAACTGGGTAGGTGGTGGCAAGGAGAGGGCTGCCATGGGCGTGTGGCACAGGGCTGGCAGTGCTAACGATGCTTTCTGTGTCCTGCAGGCATGGCAAGCCCCAGCTGCCCCTTCCACGCTGCTGTGGGCCTGGCCAGGCAGCCCCTGGTGCAGCTGGTGCTGGCAGCCTGCATGGCTGTGGCAGCAGGAGCTGCAGCCTGGTACATCCTGTGATGGACACAGTGTGTCTCTGCTTGGGGGCAAGAGGGGACATGTGCCCTGCCCTTTTTCCGACCTTTCCCTTGCTGGTGGTGAGTTGGCTGCAGAGTGGGAGTAAGGAAATAAACAGGAATCCTGTGGGACTTTCCAAACCTCCTCGCACACCGCTGTAACACGAGGTCTTTAGCTGACCAGTGTACACGACTGGTTGGTGCCAGGGGGTGAGGACTCCCTCCACTGCAGCCCTGCCCAGGCTGGGGCAGTTTTTAAGGCTAGAGATGTCCTGTCCTGTCCTGGCAAAGGGACAAAGCAAAAAACATGCTTGGCTTTTCATCTTCATCACTGAAGCAGTGTCTGGAGGAAGTTTCCTGCCCTGGGTTGCATCTGCAGAATGTCATCAGCCTTTCAAACGACGAGCACTTGCTTTCCTGCCCTGAGAAGCTGAGGCTGTGCCATGGGGCTGTTAGCTCCAAGGAGTGTCCTCTCTGGTGCAATGTCCTAGGACCCAAGTCTGAGTCCTGTTGGAGGGAGCTCCCTGGGGATGGGGGCAGGACCATGGTGGGGTAGGGAGGTGACAGATGTGTATTGTGCAACTTTGGGGTTCAGGGTTGGTTGTTGGTTATTTTTCCTGAAGCCTTGACTGGAATAAAAAGTTGCAATGCTGTAGCTGGGGCAAGCTAAAAGCACGTCATTGTGAAAATGGGGAGGCTGGGGTGGGGGTTAAGGGGGAGAAAGGGAGTGCAGTCCCTGAGAAACTCCTGCCCTAGCACCAGACTGTCCCTCTTATTTCCCCTGGGGTTTCCATCTGGGGAGGTTCATTGCCCCACTCAGAGGACACAGCCAGGTGCAACACAACACAACCCACGTTGAGGGGGTTCCTGGTAGAAGACCCAGCTGCTATTCCTCCCATTCTTGGTATCTGTGTACCCCCACCCTCATCCTCAGCGCCCCTACAGGCAGATACGCTGTGAATTTTGAGCAGGAGAGAAGAAAAGATGCACACGAGTTCAGGGTCTGTTATTTATTTACATAAAAACACTGACTAGTGCCACAGTTCCACCCCTGAGCAAACAGCAGCAGCCTGTGCAGGCCAGGCTGTGTTTGCAGACCTGTGTTCTGAGAGACGCCCCCCAACTTCGCTCTGGGAGCTGCAGGGGCAGAGGAGGGAGGAGCAGCCCCGAGAGGCTGAACTTGGCTCCCAGCTCCTCTTGCCCCTGCTGTGCGAGTGCTGCTGGCAGCTCCTGTCGCTGCCTGCTTGCCCCTTCCTTCTGCCCCACAGAAGCTAAAAATACCCCCTACACCACATGCAAGGAGAACCCTACAGACCCTGCCGGGCCCAGGACGGCTCCGGAGCTGCGGCCTGGGAACAAACTCCTCTACTCTACGTGCCGGGCAGCCAGGACATGCCGGGTGCGGTTTTGGCTCTCAGGTTGCCAGGGGGGCGAGGGCTGCTCGGGGCTGTCCCCGCCCCAGAGCCGCGGCGGGGCCGGGAGGAGGCGCATGCAGCTGGAGTGGCCGCCGGGCAGGACGGAGGTGCTGATAAGGGGGCAGTGCTGCTGCCGGGCCCCTCTCCGTGCTCAGAGGCAGCTCTGCCTCCGCTCGGGAAGGGGCTTTGCCACGGGGCTGGAGGGGGCTGTGAACCACACGGAAACCTGGTGTGTGGACACTGCCCTGTCTCCTTGTCACTGAGCCCCTTCCTGAAAGTGCCACAAAGGCTGTGCTGCATCCCCTGAGGGCACCGTGGGCTGCTTGGGGCCCCTCCTGGGCTCCCATCCCAGCACATCCCTGCAGCCAGGCACCCCCTGCACTGTGGGACTGGGGTGGGCACCTCCAGCAGCTGCTGCTCTTCCCAGGGTTGCTCCAGGTGAGAAGGGCCTCGCTCACACCCTGGAGCGTAATGGGGTGCAGAGCGCTGCCTCCCACTCCTGTGCACTGCAGGGCAGCCCCCACACAGCGTCTAGACCTGGGCCCACCTCCCCTGTGCACCAGTGTCACCAATCCAACTATTCCAAGTGAGGAGCAGAGCTGGGGGCAGGTGGTGGCAGCTCTGCGCGGGAGGGAGCCGGGGATAACACATACACACCACCGGCGGGGGAAGCGAGGGGTGATGCACACGCGGAGACGGACGGCAGCGGGACAGGGCCGGCGGCACTCCAGTGGCTCCCGGGCGCCGTTAGCACATGCGCTTGTACGTGTAGATGTAGGCCTTGCAGTTGGGACACGTGTGTGTCACGTCCTTGAAGTCATCGAACAGGCAGGGGATCAGGCAGCAGCAGAGATCACACCTGGAGCACAGGAGAGGCAGAGATGCTGAGCTGGGGGAGCCCCTGGCCCTGGGGTTCGCTCCAGGCCACGGGCAAGAGGTGTGAGTGGGGCTGTCACCCCAGGAACCCCTCTGCTGCTGCAGTGCCACCTCTGTGCCAAGGTCCCCACCATGCCCAACAGCTCAGCCAAGGTCACCAGCACTGGGGCTACCCAGGACCAGGCTGAGCAGCCAACATGAGGCCCCAGCTCTACTTGCAGCACATACCCCACAAAGCAGCAGAAGAAGCCAAGAAGGAAGCTCATGAGCCCAATCTCATAGGAGATCTTGGTGGTGATGGCTTGCTGGCAGTGGGGACACACGGTCTGCACCGGGGCACCCTGGAAGATCTCTCCCTGCAGCACTGTGACTGTGGTGGCAGCTCCCGGTGGGACGAGCACTGTGGCCGTGTGGCCACCAGGAGAGGGGTAGGGGCCTGGGGCAGGGTAGTAGCCCATGGGGGGGTGAGGGCCTGGGGGTGGGTAGTATCCTGCTGTAAATGGGAAACACAAACAAGTGAGCACCTTCATACATGGCAGGAGAGGCCAGATCCTTATTGGGGAGGCCCCCACCCTGCTGGAACACCACCCTTGGATTACAGACTCGGGGCCAGCCCTGCTACAGGCACTGTGCCCTCCATCCCATCCCAGTGAACCTCACTGCAAGCTCCAAATGGCAGCCCCAACCCCCCTTGTGTCCCTCCCACTCCCCAGGGCACCAGGAAACACGTGCTGCTGCTGATCCCCAACCCCTTGCAGGACTCACCTGGTGGCACATAGGGCCCAGAGCCATCCGTGGGCATGTGGGGCGGCACAAACCCCGGCTGCGAGGGGGGCTCATATGGGGGGGGTCCGAACTCAGGAGGGGGGATGGGAACCCCCTGGGGCTGTCCCACCACAGGGGTGACACCCTCTGAAAGGAAACACAGTCAGCAGCCAAGGAGGCAGGAGAACAGAGAGGAAGACAGCGTCCTGGCTGTGGGGTGTCAACCCCAACAGGGAAGGGAGACAAGAGGTGGGGAGCAAGCACCCCCTTAAGCTGCATCCTCTGAGCCCCAAGAAACCCAAATTCACCCCACAGTAGGAAGCAGTGTCAAGCTTTGAGATGGGAGTGCTTCCCATTTTGTCATTGCCCCTAGGACCCCTCATACATCCCCCAAGGGTGCCATGGGGACAGATGGAACCAGGCACAGCACCTGTGAGACCAGCCCACAGCCAGGGCAGTCCCAGGGAAACCACACTTCCTTGGGTCCTGTCTGCTTGGCAATGTCCCCCCAAGCAGCTGGGACACCCCCAGTACCTGGTGCCGAGGGTGGGCCGTGCTTCTCTTCTATCAGCGGTGCCGAGGGGCCCCCCGGGTAGGGTGGGGGTGGATCGTTGGACATGGCTCCAGGCAGCCCTGCAGGAACAGAAGCCTTCAGGTGACACCAGCCTTTGGTGCACATGTTGCTGGCATGGTGCTTGGGGACAGAGGTGACAGGTAACAGAGGAGGCCAGGGCTGGTGCCACCACTGCACCAAGCCTCAGCTTCCCCCCAGGCAGAACCAGGGGTATGAATGTCCCAAAGCTGGACAGGCTCTGACTCCAAGGTGTAAAATCTTCCTGCCAGCTCCATGGGGCTTCCCTGTAAAGCCCACCTGGTGCACAGCAGCTCATCAGGGCAGTGGTGGGCTGGAACATGCAGAGCCTTGGCTGCATTGTTGGGATACCAAAGGTGGGGAAGAGCTGCCCACAGCCCCCACTCCACCCCCAGTGACACAATGCTGTGCCCTGAGGGCGGGCACAAACTGCAGGACAGAGGGTGCAAACTCACAGAGCATTTCTAAATAAATGTTTAAATAAACCCAGTGAGTTAAGACCGTATTTAACAGCTGGAGCTGTTATTTTACATGGGGTAGAATTTACCTGTCCTCTTCCCTGCAGCAACAGCTCAGAGGCCTTGACAGCTGAGAGCAGCAACTGCTTGGAGCAGTGCAGTTTGGAAGGTGGCTTCTTCCACTGAATCTGTGTAAAAGGAGACAGCAAGTGAATTACAGAGGTGGAGGAGCCACAGCTGCCACTTCTCTTCCCTGGGCAGGAGCCTCCCCATGTGCCCCCTCAAAGGCAGGCATGAGGCTCTGTGTCCTTGGCATGTGGCAAAGCCCCACAGACGTGCTCTGAGATCCAAGGGAGTACAATATCAAGAAACCTGATTACCCCCTGGCTCAGTTATCCTGGTGGGATGTGACTAAATCAGAAAATACAAGTGAGAGGTTGGTCACTGAGTGCTTGGGACAGGGTGACATTGCTGTCAGAGCCCAGGGAGCAGCACTGGGAGCTCCATCCTTCACCCCAGCAAGCCAGGAGCAAATGACCCTGCTTGTCCCACTGCTGGCACCAGTGCCACGTGCTGGGCAGCCAGCCCAGAGCACGCCAACCTCCCCAGCACAGCACAGGCACCAGGCCAGGCAGCAGTGCTGCCCCAGCCCTGCATTGCAGGTGTGCCCACAGAAGTGTCTGTGGGGCTCAGCCACCTCCACCTGCAGCTGCTGGGTCAAGCAGAGCCAAAGACTTGGAAGCAAGGCAGGAAGATCCATCCCTCCCTCACCTGCATGGCTTTGCTTTGTTCTACTCCTTTTTTCCTAGTTCCTGCTCCCTGCCACCGAGCAGCCTCCTGCAAGGTATCAGGAAATTTAATCAGTCCCTAGAGGAGCACCATCACCTGTTGCTGCACACAGAGGAGCACACTGATTCCCCAGGAGCTGAGCAGATTCCTGACAGGCACAGGGTCTGCCCCAGGATGTCCATATTTCCTGACTAGGAAATTTCTCCCCCAAGGTTTGAAGTGGTGTTGCAGCCACACAGCTTCAAAGAGTAACACTGGGGCAGCTGGGGGTCATCTTCCTCCTGCTTCTCACTCCAGTTTCTTCCTTAAGAGCCCAGGGAAGCAGAGTTGCCATGGCACAGAGCATTTCCAGGCACACTGCAGAGCCTGCCTTCTCCTTCAGTGACCTACAAAGCTACAAACTGGGCCGTGCTCCTTTTAGCTCACTGGAGATGTGAAGAAAAGAAGGATTTATTCTTCTCAAAGTAGCCAATGCTGCACATCCAGGAGCCTCAGTCCTTCCTGTCCCTATGCCTGCAGGGGTTCTGGATGATCCCAGTCCAACCACAGCATCCCAGAGTCCTTACCTGGGGACAACAGCCTCCCAAGGAGCTTTCCTTGCCCTGACAGGCCAATTGTGCCCACAGCTTTTCTAACACAATAGATCTCCTCCCATTCCTGCTCAGATGCTGTTTTCCCGTAATAATCTTTCAACACTCCCCAGCCTCACTCCCCCCATCATCAAAGCAGCTGGCAAGAAAATGCAGGAGAGGAGGAGTCCTCCAGCAGCCATTCCACCAACACCCAGCAGATGAAGCAACAGCCCCAGGGTGAGCCAGCCATCAATGCTGCCACCCTGCCCACGAGGAACAGCAGCCACGAGGTGACAGCCGTGGGTCCAGAGCCACACGGGCACTGGGATGAAGGAAGCTGTGGGATGCAGGGCACTTCTGCTCCTACTTGGCAGGCTCACTTGCTCCTAATGCAATATTCTGCTTATTAAGAGAGATCTGTAAAGAGCAAGATGTTGGCTGTGTGCCCTTCCCAGGAGGAAAAGAAAGCCTGTTGCTTTTAAGCCTCTCAGAAGCTGTTTCTCTCCTGTGCTTTCTTTCATCTTAATGTGAGCAGCACAAAACCAGGTCCATTTCTGACAGAGAGTTCCGTGGGAAACCAGAGGGCACTCGGCTTCCCCTTGGCACTGGGCAGGAGCATCCCTCAGCACCCTGGCACTGACAGCCCCGCAGTATTCCAAAATCACCAGGTTTAAGTTCAAGATCTGATGGAATCACCAATGTCTTGTGTAGGTCCATTGGAGCAAGGACACACTGCAAGATCCTACGACCCTCAAAAGGAGTTGAAGGATGTAGAAGTAGAAAAAGTAGAAGGATGGAGAGAGGAGATGCTATTTCCAGCTACAAATGCAGAAGAGCTCTTCTCAACTGGAAGAACAGTGGTTTTCTTTGCAAACTAACTACAGAGGATAAAGCCACTATGGAATCAGAATCATCACAAGCACTGCTTCAGTTAAGCACAGAAGACAGGCAAAGGACCCCCCTGCCCCCAGAGAATTGATATTTGCTAAAGAAAAATTAATAAGAAAATATTCCCATTAACCTGCTGGGGCACAGCAGTGTGACAGACACAACCAGGACAGCACAGCTCCATCACAGCCTCCAAGCAGAAAGGGCTTGGTCCACCCTGGCTGTGGCCTCAGTCCTGTGTCCTCCCCTGGCTCTGTGCTCCCTGATCTCATTCCAGACAGCTTTTAGGTGGGAAGATGGCAACAGGTTTCGAGGTGCCCTGTTCAGCTCAGAGGTGTAACTCAGCCTCAAGAGGTTTGTCTGAGGCTTCTTACACAGCGAGCACAGCCAAAGTGCCGTGGGGCAGCACACAGCCCTGCCTGTGGAAACACAATCCTTTCTGATCCACCTCCTTCCTGTGCTCAGCAGCTCCCAATCCAGTTAATGAGGGATTGTAGAATTCTAGAATGGTTTTGTTTAAAAGGACCTTAAAGCCCATCTCATTACAACACCCTGCCATGGACAGGGACACCTTTCGCTATCCCAGACTGCTCCAAGCCCTGTCCAAGCTGGCCTTGGACACTTCCAGGGATCCAGGGGCAGCCACAGCTTCTCTGGGCACCCTGTGCCAGGGCCTGCCCACTCTCACAGAGAAGAATTTCTTCCCAATTCCCAATCTAGCACTGCCCTCTGGCAGGGTGAAGCCACTTCCCCTTGTCCTGGCACTCCAGGCCCTTGTCCAGAGGGTATTGATCAATACCCCAAAGCCCCTAGTTCCCATTACTGACATGTTCAAAACTGATACAAAGCAGCTTCCAGCAGTGATGAGAGGAGCTGATGTGTCAGGGTCCAGTGTCCCATGCTGGCTGGATTTCTCTCTGTTACATCACTGCAGAAACAGTTTGGGATTCAGACATGGCAAGAGAAAAGGTCTGCACATCCCACCTGCTTTCCAAACAGGTAAGGTGGGCACCACTCATCAAAAACAACTGGTGTGCAGTGAGACCAGGGAATATCGTGCCACCGGGATAGGTCCTAACACCATAAAATAGATGATGCCACGAAGAGGACGGACACAGATAACTCAGATTTGGTCTGCCAATGCCGTTCTTCCCCAGCAGCAGCTGTTTGTGCTTCAAGCTGCTTCCTCCCGGATGAAATCTCCACGGGTGAGACAAACCTGGCAAGGGCAGAGCAGATGCTGGCAGGTCCAACTCACGTGTGAGCCCTGATGGTGCAGCGCTGGCCCCAGCAGCTCTGAGTCAGCCTCACAGCACCACTGAGATCCATCCCACAGGCTGAAACAGCCTGTGCTGTCCCTGCTCCTGCTGCAATTATAACTGAGATGCACAGCAATTCAGCTTTGTTTCCTCCATGGGAGCAGTGTGTCCAGCCACCAAGACAGGAAGCAGCATTTGTCCATGCTCAACCACATTCAGTGACGTTGACACTTCGAAAACTGCTGCTACACATTTCTGGAGCTCTTCTTCCATAAAAAAAAAACCTTCTGATATTTGAAAAATGAAAAAAAACTCACACTAAAATTCAGTGAATAAATAAGAGAAAATATACGAGCACTTTCAGCTTCACTGCACATCAAAGAGATGCAGATTCCAGCTTCCAGGCTTTTGGAAACACAGTTTTAAAAGCCAAGAGCCCTGAAGACACTGGGCCCTCACTGAACCCAGCACCCTTCCTTTAGAAATAGGAACAGCACTGTGGCCAACACCATCCCAGTTTTCCTGGCTCCAGGAAAGATACCTGTGTGCCACAGTTTACATGCTCCAGAAACTGGGAACTACTGAGACTAGGAAGGCACAAAGGCAAGTCAGATGCTGGCAAAATCTCATTTGAGCCAAAGTCTGCTACTCTTCAAAAGGAGCTTTAGGGGCATCAAAGAGGGAGAACCGAGCAGGGTGTGCTGAGGGGGACACAGCCATACCCTGACTGTGGCAATCCCAATCCCAATTGCCCTCCTCCACAGCAGCATTACTGAACACCTCCAAATCCAGCATGGAGCTGCATGTTCCCAGTGCTACACCTGTGCCCAGGGCTCCCAGGGCTTTGCCCTCTGCCCAGGCTGTGCCCAGAGCTCCCAGGGCTTTGCCCTCTCATGTGCATGCCCGCTTGCACAGTTTGCAGGGATGTGGCTCAGCTCCCACCACGCGCAATCCCACCCGACAGCTCTTACCTCCAAAGGAAAGACAGTATAAATCTCTGCTGAACAAGCAGTATCAGTGGTTATTTCTGCCTGGTTTTTATGCAGAACAACACAAAGATGTTTTCCCTGCAAACGAGCTGAAGCTCCCCCTCAGCTTTGCCTCTTCCCATGCGCATTTGCTGCCCCCAGCCTGCACACCACCTCCCCGGAACCAGGAGGGGAGGAATAAACAGCACAGAGTGCTTCAGCCTCCCTCAGAGAGAAGGATGTCCTGGCAATCCTTGACCATGTACCCGCTCCTTTACCCGCTGTTAACCTTGGCAGCACCTCCTCAACTCCTCATCCTGGTCCTGGACAAGGCAGCAAGAGGGCGCATGCCTGCAACGCTCTGCAAGGCGCCGATGGAAACGGAAACCCAAGTGAAGGACTGAAGGAAAGGTCTGTTCTTTTTCTGAGCAACTCAGCTGTGCTTTCTCAAGTTCAAGTCACTGCCAGGGAGCACAAACCTACAGTTCAGGAACAGCCAGGCTGCTCCCAGAACAGCAGATTTCTTCCACACTTCTGCACTAAGATTTCAGCTGCAGAAAACTGCTTCTTCCAGGAGGGTCAGGCTGTTCCTTCAGTGCAGGCACAGAGAGCTCAGCTGGCAAGGCAGGCCAGCAGCTCTCCTTTAAAACAAAGGAATGCTGGAGGAGGTTTTCCATCATTTGAACCAGGTATGTCAGACAGCAAAAGCTCCCTGCTCTGCTCTCCAGTATGTGAATCTCCAGAGGAGCTTCCCCATCACAGGCATTTACCTGGGGACCTTGGACATATTGTTTGGCCTTCTGTGTGCCACCATCACCCAGCAGACAAATCACCTCAGAGTGGGATCCTCGCTGGCAGCCAGGTGCTGTATCCAAAGCAAGATTTCTCAGGGCATTAAATCCAAAGCAAAATCAGATGATCTCCACAGCGCAGCCCTGGCTCAGCTGTCCTTGGCCAGAGATTCAAATTACCACTTCCAGCAGCTCCTCTGCATGGATATCAGGAAAACCAGACACAAAATCCACCCTGCTTAAGGAGGCTTTATCTGCAACATCCACAAAGGGTTACGTGTGGGAGGAGCTCCTGCAGGACCTGCTGCTGCCTCTGGGATTCTCTCCAGTGCTATTCGCCTCCGGATGGGCTGACCTGGCTCTTCACACTGGGGCTGCAGAAACAGCCTTGCCAGGACCTGCTTAACCTGAATATTTAAAGAAAAACCAGCCAAAATGGAAAGAACAAACTGGGGTAGCTCGTTCTCTCTGCTGTTGGCACCCAAGATGTGGCTGTGGGAAGCATCATGTGCTGGCAGAGCTCACGGTGACATCCAGGAGCCAGGAGGGGCTGCAGGGAGGAGAGGTCACAACCCCACACTTCAAAACTGGACCCCAGCCCCTCCATGTGTCAGGACACTGGGGAAAGTTGAGGTGCACACAGAGCACTCTGCACCACCAGGGCAACTGAATTTGGCCCCCAAAAGCCAGTTTTCTGAACAGGGAGTAAGTAAGGAGCACACTGCAGTCAGACTGCCCCACAGGCTGCCACTGGCCCTGGAAAACCCACTCTCCCCCTCAGGAGGTGCTCACTGTTCATACCCTTCCATCAGATGTCCTGGCTGCACAGAAGACAGGCTGCAAAACACCAGGTGTGCTCATGGATGTGGTTAAAATAACGTTAAAGCTGAGCTCCTCTGCATCCTACCAATGTGCTCCAGAGAGATGAGAAAAGGAAGGTGCTGCAAGCCAAATCCCAAAAGCAGAAAGCTTTTCCATGAGACTTTCACTGCAGTTCACAAAGAATCCAAGCTAACACTTGATAACATCCATGGGAAAGCATCCAGTGATAGCAGCAGCTGTTGCCTCCAGACTTCTGTATCTACTTAATTTTCCCCCTGAGAGGATACATCCTGCATTACATCATCCCTTTGATATCTGTTAATAATGGTGATAACACAACCTGCCAGAATCTCAAGCAACTAAACCCAACATCTACGCCAACACTGTGTTTTAACGTAGCATCAAACACAACTGTGCTACAAGAATAGCTGTTCATTTAAACAAGCAAACAAAAATACCTCAGCTCAAGAAGCTTAACAGCAAGCAGGAGCCTCAGGAGGTCGGGAGAAGCTCCACAGCTCTTAAGCACAGTCACAGATCCAAGCTCACCTCTGATGGCAGCCCAGAACAGAGGCTTAAGGATGAGTTAGGAAGGGATCAAAGGCAGAACTGTCAGTCTCTCCCACTCCCAAGCACTCATGGTTTTGGACACTGGGCAGCCTGGAGGTTCTCCATGGAGCACCCCAGGTCATTCCCAGTCACCAAGTACTGCTCTTCAGTTAACTACACCAAAAAAATCTCCTGCTGTCAGCATCTGCTGCCTCCCATTTGGGGGACATCAGCACAGAAAAGTTGAATATAGAATGAGTACCCACTATGTCTCACAGCAAAACCCAGAGTTTTATAGATTCCCCTTCTAACACCAAAATAAAAATACTTTATTTATTTAAGAACTCTCATTTCTCCCTCCTTCTATAGATTTTTTTGAGAGAAAGTCAAATAACACAGCTACATCATTGCTGAATCAAACTGAGTACATGTGTGACGTCCATTAAATGACACAGTGAGCTCCAAGGGAGGAGGAAATTAGAATCAGAGATGATCAGCACTTTTGCATTTCAGAATTAATCAGAGCCCAAGAGCGTATTCAGAATTCCCTTGCAGATTTTGCAACACAATGAAATAATTCTGAATACATTGCTGGTGATTCCAGATCCATTTTCAAGTGCTGCACAAAACATATGCCACGGCACTGATGTTTGCTTACCCGAGGAGAGCACCAGCTCGCTGTAGGACTGGCTCCAGTCTCCAGCATTAGCATTTCCCATGCTCACAGATCCCCCTGCCTCGGCGCCAGAGAAGCTGCTGACACTCAGATTTAACTGGTACAATGTCACCTTGCACTTTTTTTTGAGGACTAGTGCGAAGTGCTCCGTGTCACTCAATTTTATGTAAAGCCAAGGGTCACTCTTTGCAAAGGAATGGGTTTGGGGTTCAGCAGGATCTTGTGTGTAAGGTCTGAGATCTCTCCTGAGTTCCACTGCCAACAAGGAGGACCCACACTCATCCCAAGATGTGCACTGGAGGAACTTTTCCATGCTGAGGCCATTCGTGTTACCACAGTCACATTCTTGCTTCCACAGAATTTCCCAGTTCCAGACTGGGATCTCTCTTGGAGTTGCCCAGGGCCACCAGTATGGGGCTGGATTGTCCCGTGACATTTGGACAGGAGGAGGGTACCTGG